GTAGATGACGTCAGCTGCCCGTCCTAAATGACTTCTTTATATTTCTAGTCCGTAAGGAACAGGCTTATGAGACCATCTGATCAGTTTTGCATAAAATAGGCAAGTAAAAAGACCTAAGTAAAAAAGAGAGTGTGCGGGACTTCTTAACTAAGGTAACATTTTTCTGCTGGGGCTTTAATTTCAGTCTGATGCACTATTACCACCTATAGGTATTTAAGATATTCTGAAAAAAATAATAATTACTGAAAATTAATTAAAAAAAAAAATCATAGCTCCTGTAAAGATTTCTCCTTTTAGGGAAAGGATGGTGCTTAGGTATTTATGTTATTTGCACTAATTAAAGTGTACCTTATAACATTATCAGTGTTATCAATATTGTTTGTAATAACCCAGAAAGTCAATTTTAGGATTTGATCTAGTACTTGGTAATATCAAATGCAAAATTCCCCACTGGCTAATGTTAGATAAAGTTTATTAAGTTCTAACCACCAGATTCACATGTACTTGCATACAGGAACCTCTCTGAGGGTCGCTCAACTCTTCAGGAATTGCATCTCTGTAACATTGTGGCTTTCTATAAACAGCAAGATAAAAGACCTGGATAGAGAAGTAATCTCTGCCTCTGCAGATCTGCACAGCACTGTTTTCAAGTTGAAAATAGTGCTGTACCCTTTGGCATGCACCGAATAAGCCTTCCATGTTAGGAAATCTGCATTGTAAAGCACCTTATTACTGAACTCCGAGATACATCTTTACCTTTCTGTAAAAACTTTAAACACATTCCAAACCAGGCATAGTTACTGGACTGAAAGTAAAAGAGAGAATATGATGTGGTAGTTCCTTATATTCACCTCTACAATGCTCAACTTTAATTTCAATCTTGGAAGTATTTTATTTAACATTTATGCAATGGTAGGTTGATGCACAATGGTTTTGCTAAAGTCATTATCAGTGAAATAATTAATGAAGCTGTTATTTGTATTTACATATTTAGACTTCTCAATTGAGAAAACTTAAAATGTGTTTTCAGTTCCCTGTAATTGATTATCCTTATATTTCACTTTAAAGGTTTTCTTTCAAGTTATGGGTAGAAACGTAGGTGACACTTATTTTTATTAGAAAAAATAGTTCTAGTACTTCATTCGGTGGTGGAATAGATGACTACAGTGCTTACAGCCTTGCTTATTATTTTTCATATGTTTCAAATGAAAACACAGAAATGTTTTTCCTTCAGGAGTGGGACTTCAATTTATATGATATTGACTGTCTTAGTCCCTCAACATGGCCATAAGTTGTGTAAAAACTAAACCAAACTCTGCTGATGTGTGTTGAAAGCCACCAACATTTTCAAATCCCCACTGAGCGTGCGTCACTGGATTCTATGGGCTATTACCGTGTGCAGACCTGTTTTAAAAAAGTGGTACGAGCCATTAAAACATTAGAAAAGCTGAACTTAATCACTGTTGCCTTTACAGGTTAGAAAGCATATCAAACTCTGTTGTGCAATTACTGGTTTTATATTTTGTTCTTCTAAAAACTTACTTTTAATTTTTACAGAACTCTGTGTGACTCCAATTTCAAAAGGAGGTTTTGAAAAAGAGAAATCTGGATCATCTTCACTGACCAAATTAAGGAGGCTAAAGACTAATCTGTTTCACCGAAGTATGACTTTTGATACTTATATCCAAATGTCTTAGTTGATGCATGAGGAGTGTGTTTCTGTTACTTTAATTTGTGTGCAAGATGAACATTTGGAGAAGAAAATTTTGATGGAAAATGTACCTCAATTTCTTGCGTATTGAAATGATTGTAAAGTTATTAAAATTTGTATTTGAGAATCTGACTCACAAATAACAAATTTTTGGTATTGCTGTTCATTAAAACTGTAAAGATCTTAAAATAAAAGTTTATGGCTGATGATAAAATGGTATGGAGTAATTAAACAACTAACTTCAGTTAACGTTAAGCCTATTTCATATGCTTGCCATTTACAGCATGTTATGCAATACAAGTGATCATCTGTAAATTGTATTCCAGAGCAAACTTTAAGTTTAAATATCAAACAATATTAATTAAATATTTGAAGGTACTCTTTAGACTATATGTTCATGTGGCAGGGACATGGGGAAGATACCATCATACTTCTCTTTTCTCAATCTGATATGAACACAACATCCAACAACACTATTACTGTATGTAGCTGTAAGTTCTTCAGAACAAGATACTATACTTTTAACATTCCTTGGTCTGAGTGTTTGGAAAATCTGCAAATCAGTATGAAGATAAATTTTGGGCAGTAGATACTTTCTTCTAAAGGCTGCTCTGTATAGGTGTCCTTGCTCCATGTGTCCCATTTTTGATCAAAGGGGTTTTATGCACCAAGACTTCAGTGCTGCTCCAGTCCATGCTAAGGGAACAAATCCTCAGTGGGTATGATGCCTCTCAGTAGCTGTAGCTGCCTAAAGTTTGTCATCCGATCTAAACTGATCAGTCCCTCAAGAGAGAGGAGAAAAGGTAGGTAGTTCCAAAAGCGATGTCTTCCTGGGGCATTTGGCTGCTCCGAAATCTGCTAGGAGTCCTCCAAATTTTCTAAAGCTTTTAAGTACTGGTGTTTCTATAAATACTAGGAAAAAAATGACTTCACAATTTTTAGGAGCTAGAACTAGAAATGCAAGAAGAAAAATGGTGAAACAGGCACGTATGCCTCTGTGATTTGCTTTGGAACCCATTTTTCAAAAGCTTTCCTTATGCCTATCTTTTATGTGCATTTCTAAAAATATTATGATGACACAGGTCATGTGCAAAAAAATGGTGGCTTTTGTCACTGTATTTTGTGAAATTAAAGAAACATTTTCATCATGCAGGGCTTTCGATGGGAAGTAAACTACAGTGTGGCATGTTCAGAATGGTTTAACGAATCAGTTGTTATTTTCATAACTAGATTGACAGATTGTTTTGGAAACTTCATAATGCAACAGCAAATCATCGCTGCTTCTTTTTGTGCATTCTTTTTCAGATAAAAGAGTAGTGGATACCACTGCTAACTCTGATGCTTACTTGGAGGACCTTTTTACAGATTATTATGAAAAAGCTGCGAGCATGACTGATGTCTCTACAAGCTATCTCAGAGAAGGGTCTCATATCCGAATTAATTTACTTAATAACAACATCCCAAAAGGCCCCTGTGTCCTTTGTGGAATGGGAAGTTCTAAAAGGGAGACAGTCTATGGATGCCTCGAGTGTTCTTTTAATGGACAAAAGTATGTACGACTGCATGCTGTGCCCTGTTTTGACCTCTGGCATAAGAGAGTAAAGGAACTGAGCTAGGTAAGTGCCTTGTCACAAACATGGGCTTAACTGTGCCACAAACTTTTCAGAATTAGTAAATATGACTGAAATGGTTGAAATGCAAAATAGTGAACATGCAAAACATTCTAGAACACTATTACGGTCAAATTGTTTGCTTCACAGTCAATGACCTTTTACTTGAAAATGCCTTCATGCATTCCTGACATTGCTTTTCTTCTTTCCAGACCCCTCTCCTTTCATTATCATGATAATGAAAAAAATGTACTTTTAAACTGCACTTTCCTAATATCAAAATATATGCTAGAACCTAAGTTGTTTACACAATCGTTAAACCCCAAAATGATGCCTTTATCTACTCTGGCATATGATCGTAAATTGAGAGTATTTGTAAATAATTTAGTGTTCTTATGAATATTTAATTAAAGTATCAGATTAAAAAACATGCTAAAACTTAGCTCAGTCTAACGTTTCATTGACAAAAGGGAGCAACTAAGACTAGGGATAGGCGTTTCATGTTAGGATGTCATTACCATATGTCAACAGTTTGTTTAAGTTACTAAAAAGTACCAGCCAGGCCACCTTCTGCATTTGGATTTTAGGTCACAGCTGCTTTTGAATTTACGTGTTCAGACAAAAAAATTGTTTTGGAAGCTTACAAAAATAACACAACTACACCCTTCTGACAAGACTTCAGGGGTGTGAAGGTCTTTAACCTGTAGATCTCAACCACGGAAAATTAGGTCTGTGTTGCTGAGACTATAAACACGAGAGGGCACTACGGAATTGCATCCAATACCGAGATTGGGAGTGTGCTGTTAGTATACGGTCAAAGCTATTTTAAACTGGGAAAACCAATTTAAAAATGTTTTTCTACCTTTTTGAATGATTTTAAGGACAACCCAGGTATGGAAGCTTTTACTTGTGCTGCCACTTTCACTGTGTGCAACTGATTATGACACATTGAAATGAATACAGCCATTGCTTTTCCCAGAAGAGTGCAGTACCTCACAGAAGTCTCACGGTGACATCTGCAGGGCAGAACAGTTAACTCCCCTGAAGTCCTGTCTATTAACTCTTGCAGCGACTTCCTATTTTTCTGAAGTGAGGGAAACCAGAATGATGTCCAAATAACTACTTCAGTTTATAGTTTCTCCCATCATCTTCCAGCTCATCCAAGTAACTCATGACAGCGTAGATTTTTAATGTGCTGCTGTTAAATAAACTGGCTAACTTAGTAAAATTATTAAATCAAAGTTCAAAAACCCACTTAAAAAGTGCTTTTTCATGACTACCACATTATTCATGTTAATATTACATCCAAGAGGTTACTTGAAGTTGCTTTAAAAACCTTTGTGTTTTTATCTTGATGTTCCACAGTGTTAATTTATTTTTAAGCCTTTTATAGTTAAATTTGCTGCACATGGCAATTCCTCAACAAGCCAGCCTAGGAACCTGCAGAGGCTTAACAGACTTACTTTCCCGGGATTTTGTTTCCCCCTTTTATTTTACAGGGGATTGAGAAGTATGCATCAGTTATGTTCTAAAGATGTCAACAGATACTGGAACCATTTTTGTGTGCTTGATAAGACAAAGATAATTATTTTCATGAGTATTTTACACAGTGAGAAAAGACTACTATGCAAAACCATAGATTAGGACATGACACAGGAACCACTAATAATATATCATGGTGTTTCCCAATTTTATTTCTTTCTTTTGAAGTATCTAACACATTTTATTAGATGAATGTTAAAAATAAAAATTTTTACAGTCACCTTAAGAGATATAAAAAGATGCCATTATAAAAAATAATACAAAAGTTCTGTGACAAAGTCTTATTATTTAAAATTCAGTGTCCAGAAAATAGTCAAAGATTTTTTAAGTACTTAGAGTTCATCATGCTGGTAGACATTGTACTCTTTTGCTGATATGAAACCATCTCCATCATGGTCATTCTTCTTAAATATATCAGCTAAGATTTCATCATGGACTGAGGGATCACGTTTTTTGCCATCTCTTGCAAATTCTTCTTTCAAATACTGGCTTATCTAGAAGAAAAAAGCCCAAGCATTCTGTCAGTACTCAACAGCCACCTTCAAGGACACTTGGAATATACATGTGTTACTGTGACTCCAGAACAGACACATCTAAAGCTTGTTTCCCAGCAGGACTGAGATACACTAATGTGTTAATCCAAGCAATTTTCCACCTTGCACAGTGTAGTTTGTGTAAGCATACAGAAGCTTTCCATTATGCTGTTGCAACTATACCTACATTTTTATGAATTATGTATTCCAAATCAGTTACATCATGTTACCTCAAGTTCAGAGAGCTTCTTGTCACTGTCCTTGTCTATCTGATTAAATGCTTCAACACTGCGAGGTCCCTTGTTTACTGCATAAAGCTCAATCTCAAAGATCAGTGTTGCATTGGGTGGAATCTTGCCCTGTGCTACAAATATAAGAAAAAAAAAAAAGGCATTTAAGATGTCAGACACTATGGTCAGAGATCACATGTATGATAAATTCATATGTAGTGTGTCTTATTTTGTTATTACAAAAGGCTGTATTAATAGTCAGATTAAGCTCTGAATTCAAATACTACACAGCTAGATAGGAAGATTGTTCAGATTGTGTGAGATAAATGGTTTTGAGAGAGATTTGCAAACAATATACTTCCCTAAAACAAAGTTATATTGCTCATATCAATTCAGGTACTTTTAAAAATTAAGATAAGGGTTTGTGTTATCATGAAAAACAAGTATTTCTTTCCCATACTGTCATATGATGGGGCTTATTGAGAGACTGATTCTAAGATGTATGCCTTTATTACATATCTGCAATCTGATTTAAAAAAAAATACAGTAATAGACCAATGCTCGTGTGTATTTTCTGTCTGAAGAAACAAGCAGGCAATATCAGATTTCACCAACTTACTATGAATTTTACCTGTGTTTAAAGGACTTGATGTAAAATAGTATTTAAAATATACAACTCATGAGAAAGAAGCAGTAGTATGTAAGTCATCTGATTCACAAAAATACCCCAAAAACCCCAAAACCACACAAAAACCCAAAACAATAAAACCAACCAAAAAACCCCAACTACAAATTGCTGGAATATTTCATCAAATCTCTGAAAGGAAAAAAAAAAAAGTTAGACATTCCTGTGTCAAAGCATTTTCTAGTATTTGATGTAAAAACACCTATAAACACAGGTCAATGTATCATGCATCTGGAAAAAAAGGGAACAGAAGAGAGACAGTAACAAACTGATGAGGTCTAAATGTAGTGCCAAAAAAGCATCAAGAAATCATGCAGTGTAAAATTAAAATGTAAACATGCAAGTTGCTTCTATTTATAGCCTAAGCCAGTAAGCATGACATTGTAACCTCAGAATTTTGAGCTTGTGCCTGTCCTTCATAAACTGAACTAAAACTGAAGAAGGTAAAACAAAACTATTACTCACACTACTCATCTAAAATAGCCGTAGTAATAATGTCAGTTTTCAGAGTTCAAAAGACTTTAATTTTACAAGCCTTAAAAATATACAAGTTTTAAATATGTCTGTATCTAAATCATGGTTTACATACTACTTACAAAAGAAAGATACAATACTAGAACTCGGTGCCAGTGGTTTACAAATATACATACCAACAAAGGAAAGTTATGTAAAGATTTAGAAAGCCACATGCATCTTTTCTAATTCAAGATTAGGCAGGCATCTTCCCCAGCATGCAGGCATACGCTGAGACAGAGGACAGGTGTGCTGCAGGAAAATAATACTTTCTTGAAGTGCTACCTAGAACAAACAGTTAACACTAGTATTAGAGGTAAAGAACATACTTTTATTTGTGTCAGTGTTTGTCCTTGCCTTACTTACTAAACATTATGTTCAAGGGGAAAAATTTATTCCTAGTAGACTTCACTAGCTACAATGGAATTGTGTGAAAGACAAAAGTGGTGCATGGAATTCTGATATATTACCACTGCCTAACAATTATTATGGAGCAGGACCTACCTTTTCACAGAAAATACTACATCCAAGTCAGAGCTGAATTTAAGTTACCTTAGTGCTGAAACACTGCATAAAACTCTGACTGGAACTTTTTTTTTTGAAGTAGACTGCACACTTAGGCATTATAAATTCAAATCGGATTTCATGTGCTGTACTGTTGCGATTATTATGTACTCCGACGATACTGACCATTAACTATCCAGAATGTAAGCAGTATTTTAAAGAAATTATTTCTACTTAGATTAATTCTGTGGCATGCACTGGATTACACTCCATTTTGCTCAGAAGATACAATGTCATTAAATGGCTAAGCAGGTAAGAGTCAAATAACAGAAACTAAACAGGAATCGAACTTAATAGATAAGACAAAAAATGCTGATACGAATCCTGAAGATCTTCCTTTTGCTGTCTTTGTTTTTGATGTTTTGGCAAAACTCGGAAAAGCACATTGGGTGCCACGTACTGAATTCTAATGCAGACTGCAAAGCCTGGTGTGGGCCTACATTGAGGACTACTTAAACTGCATAGGAATGAGCAGGACTGGGCTGCACCGCTGCACTCATCACCTTCAGTGCCTCCAAAAATAATGGAGTACTAATTATTATAGTAATTAACAATACCGTACGTTTGAAAGGGTAAAACAGAGGAAAGACAAAGTTTAGCATCAAAGCTTCTTTTTTACCGTATCCTTGCTGTCCATACGCTAACGATGGAGGAATGATCACTTTCCGTTTTTCTCCAGGACACATATTCATCATAGCAATATCTAACCCTTTTATGACTTGTCCAACACCCAGAACGAACCATTTTGGATGACCTTCATGTTGCGTCCGACTATTGAAAAAAATTTTGAGTGGATAACAGTGAATTCAATATTTTATTCTTTTATATATAAAAATAACAATCAGTGAAAACAGACATTAGATTACTAAAGCACAGGAATGTTTAGAGTGCAAGCATATAATACTGCTATATTTATAATTAATTTAAGGTCAAATCTTGAGCTGTGTGAAGGGCAACCTCCTTTCAGAATCAAAAAACCAAGAAAAACCCTAACTTCTTACAAAAACATCCGATCTCCCTGATCACATACACTGCATGCTAGAAACAAGGTGCCACTGCAGGAAGTTTGTGAGAAGAGGAATGCTGCCAGCAATTCACTGCTAGGAAGCGAAAACGTCTTCAGCAGTTCACATCACTGTAGGATGGGATGGAGCATGCACTGGGGCAACCTGACAATCTTGGCTACAGTTCTGTGTGCCCACCTACCGCTCTGTTCAGCTTAGACAGTCAATGCTTGAGCCAGTTTCTGGTCATAGGAGGTGGTCCCCTGTACTGGAACTGCACTGAACAGTGACACAGCAGCATGTAGCTCAAAAGTCAGAGGTGAACACTGTATGTGCCAAAATCAGTCACTTCAACAGGCAAAAAAAAAACCAATTAAGATGGTACTGCTAAATGTGAAATTATCCTATATTGCTTTTTTCTTAAATTATACAAGTGGGGGGAACAAATCATGATTTTGTAATAAACTAGGCTACTGTCTGATCTGACAAATACCTGAAGGGAAGAAAAGACTCTCCTCTAGCTCTGCACAGATGAGCCCTGCCTCCCTAGCAGGATTAAAAGCAAGGCACTGTGAAAACAAAGCTTTTGCACAGAAACTGGTGTGCAAAGCAAGCTAAACCAAGCTGAAACAGCCTGTAGATGGACGGGACAAAATGAAAAAGCGAATGCCTGAATGCAGACTCTGGGACAAAGAGGTAGGCAGCACAAATCAAGGAGGGAAGCAGTGTAAAGCCTGCAAACTGTTAGCGTAACGTGGCTGCCCTGCACAATGCCCCTGTGGAAAAGTGCATGCCGTATTCAAGTTCTGTCTAAAGTAGTCTGCGTCCCTACCAGGACCTCCTCCTCCAAACCCGATTCCTTCTGCACAGATTACAGCACGGGCCATGGCAGGAGGTAACACAGCGGTTTGGTTATTCTTCGTCCTGACAAACGGGCTCTCCCATGAGGTGTGGGCTACACCTTGGGAACTCTTCCAGTTGGTCCCCTTCGCTGGCGACAGCTGCCAGTCTGAAGCATGGCTTTGGACCAGTCTGAAGTGCTGGACCCTCGGTAAATCCTTCAGCACTCGGATGAGGAAAAATAAAGGCTGAGATGGGGAGATCACTAATGCTACCGTGGTTAGCATGGACCTCAAGCTGTGCCCACACAGAGCACACGGAGCAGCTGGTCCTGCTTAGCCGGCGGAGGGGTAAGTGGGACCCGCGGGGCCTGGGGCCGGGCAGCCTGTGCCACGTAGACGGCCGGGCTAGGGCCTGCCTCCCCTTCCAGCCCACCCCGTGCCCGGGGGGCCCACCTGCAGTAGAACTTCGACCCGTCGCTGGCCAGGAAACCGTCATAG